AGTGGTCCCACCTTTCTCAGTAAGTCTTCAGGAATGCAGTGTGTTTGGAAGCATGCCACATCCCTGTGATTCCATAGGCACAAGCATACCTGCCCTTGTTCCCTGGGGAATTTGGAATTGCAGTGCTCTGCAAGTGAAGCAGGTGGATTGTTTTGTTCCCCCACACCGTGGCCAAGTGTGTTTGATGTGCATTCCTCTTACCTTCATGATGGGCTTTGAGATGAGGAACAGATACCTTTAATAGTCAAGATTTGTAGCTGAGTAGAAGATGCTGAAAGAGATGGTGGTGTTGTTTTTGGATCTGTGCAGTGAGGAGTTGCTGCTGAATAAATCCAATTATTTTCATGGACAAGTTCTTATTACGGTGTGAGAGGTCTGGGTTAGTGGTGGGATTTTTTTTGTGAGAAACTTTTTGGATTTGCTGGAGGCATTGGCCAATAACTTTTTGTCTTCTGAAAGTCAGTGTTAAAAGGCCTGTATAATTTAAACTCATGTCCTCATGTGTGTGTTAGGCTTCAGCAGTTTGGTCTATAATGGTTGTTCCCAGTTTTTCTGCTCTGGTGCCTAAATACCTTTTCAAGTTAGTGCTAGTTCTGTTTGTTAATGGAGTTACTTTGTGTTTTACTAATGCCTTTATGCTGTTGTGTGGCTTGGCCTAACTTAGAAATGATTTATGTTCTGTTTCTGTACCAGGAGAACGTGTACCTGAGTAGCTGGAGGATCCAAGTGCTGGATGGCAACACAGCAATATGTGTGGAGGGAAAACGCAAGTAAGAACCAGTTTAGTGAGTTAAATGCAGTGTGAAACTACTGTGGTGCAGCTCAGGGCATCAAACACCACGTCATGTGGTGGGTTTAGCTGCTTTGTCAAGGAAGAGGTGAATGCCTTTCTATGGGCAAGAGGTGGAGTGTGGAATACAGGTAACTACTGGGTAAATCATGTCAGAGTCCAGTCCTGAGCTGATCAGAGATGAAGAGGAATAAAGCAGAGTATCAGATAGCTCTGAGATCACAGAATCATGGAATGGTTTGGGTTGGAAGAGGTTTGGAGCAGCCTGGGGTAAGGGAAGGTGTCCCTGCCCATGGCAGCGGATGGAGCTACATGAGCTTTAAGGTCCTTCCAATTCACACCACTCTGTGATTCCATGATTCTCATCCTGGGGAAATGCACATTAGACCCATATAATGGTAGTTCTGTACCTTGCAGACTGATATGACTGCAGGAATGAGCTGGCAGGAGCACTGCAGTCTGTCCTGCTCCTGCAGCCTCCTGTGCAGCTCGTATTCCATGGCTAATTCTAGCAGCAGTGACATGTTCAGTGTGTCTCCTGCCCAGGCAGATGAGGGCACAGCTGTTTGTGTTCCAGGCCAAGAAAGGAAAATTAAGCACAGAGCATATCCTGCCACTGTACCCCTCATAACATACCTTCCTCATGGGCCATCAATATCCTAGCCTGAAACCCCTTCCTTTCTAAAAGCAGGGGCTTATTTGTGTTGTTCCCGTTGTGTCTTTTGCCAGAGACATGAGGTACCTGCCTTGGCACAGCAGTGCAATCACAGAGCGCTTGGCATGCAACCGGCTCAAGACATCATCGGGCACTGTCTATGTGCTGGAGGGGAGAATAGACTCAGCTTCCATGAGGAAAGAAGGTAGGGAGGGGGTTCTTAGTGTAATATCACAGACTGTTCCAGGTTGGTTTGACGCACCTGGAATTTTAAAGGGAATTGGATTTACATGAAGTGTTAGGCTAGGCTTTATTTTCATTGCTCCACGTGCTCCTCTGTTGTGCTCACTAATAATGAGCTGCTTGTTGGTGCTTACAGGCAGCTCTGGGGGCACAAAGAGTGTGGCATAGATGGAATAAATACTTAGAATCCTAGAACTGTGGTATCTCCTGAGTTGGAAAGGATGCCCAAGGATCATCCAGTCCAATTCTTGCCCTGCACAGACACCCCAGCAATCCACACTGTGCCTGAGAGCATTGGCCAAACACTCCTTGAGCTCTGTCAGGCTTGGGGCTGTGACCACTGCCCTGGGGAGCTGTTCCAGTGCCCAGACACACTCTGGGGGAAGAGCCTTGTTTGATATCCAGGCTGACCCTCCCCTCACAGCTCCAGCCATTCCCTGAGCATTCCTTACCTTTACCTAGCTGTGCCCCAGGTATGTGGTCACACTCTTTAGAGGAGCATGTCTGCCACTGCCTTTCAGGCCTAAAGATGTGTCTGTAGCTTCAATGTTTTCTTCTCAATTGCAGCCCTTGCATAAGTGCCTGCAGGTACCTGACCTGGCTGCTTGCTGACTTTTAAGTTCTGCTAAATACTTGTTTCTCTTTTAATATTGTGAGAAAGAAAGTGACAGCAAGAGGCTTGTGAGCAAAGTGGCTTGAGTGCTGCAGAGCTTTTCTAAGCCTAGGACTGTGCTGGGATGGAATTACCTGGGCCAGTTCCTCTGATCCTTGGTTTTCATGTGCACTTACTGGATATCATTTCCACCCTGTGATTCCAAGCATTGCTGAGCTGTTAGTGCCACTTGTGTTCCCCCAGGGTTTCCCTACCGCTTCATCAGGCATTTCACATATGGGTTCTCCAAGAGGTGGAAGGAGTATGTCCAAGAGTTCCTCGAGGAAAAGAGGAGGTAATTTCTCTAGAGATTCTGTTGCATTGCAATGTTCCCTGAGATTTTGCTGTTTAAGGAGAGTGAAAGGTTGCAGATGTGTCTGAGCAGCCACTCTGCTGTGCTGTGCCACTGGGCTTCTGCCACATCAGGGCTTCAAGTTCACATCATTTGTTAAAGAACTGCTCTTTCAGGTGCTTAGTATTTCTTTTCTTGAACTCCAACTCATTAGGAAAGAACAAAACCAGTGCAGTGAGGATGCAGAGAGTGACTCTGTGGTGGGAACTGTTGTGTTGGAAAGAGCAGGAGGCCCAGCAAAGGATGTAGAGAAGCCTGGAATGAGGAACACCATCTCTCAAGTATTGCCAAGGAACAATGAAAATGCTTGTGAGCATTTGATTATTCTTTATTTTGGGAAAGACCGCTGGAGGTGGCTGGAATGGGTTGTGGAAAAGCTCAGTGTGTTGGATTTGTTTTCAAGAAATGGCTGTAAAGCCACAACCTGTAGAGCCCCCTGGTTTTGCCTGGCCTTAGAGTGCAGTGTCAGCTCTGTCATGGACACACACAGCTTTGGGTTAACCCTGACTCCTTTCTGGGATCTTTGGCCAAACTCCATTGGAGTGTTCAAAGGCAGTGTTCATTCCAGGTGGAATAAAGCCTGGAGCAACCTGCTCTGGTGGGAGGTGTCCCTGCCCAGGGCAGGAGGGTGGTGGGACTGGGTAATCTATAAGGTCCATTCCAACCCCTTAACATACTGTGGAACTGTGTTAAAGCTGTAACCAGATTTCCTTGCCAGCACTACAAAACCTCCTCTATGTTTTTCTTTCTTGTCATTCACATTTCTTTTTCTTCCATTACATCTATCTTTCATTCCTCTCAGTGAGGAACTGTTCAGTGTGACAAACTTTTCTTCATCACTGTCGTTCCTTCTGACTTTCACAGTACTTATAACCTACTAAACAAAGTCACAGTAAGAAGTTCCAAACAGTAAACTCGGTCATTTATGAAGATGATCTCAGCCCTGTTATTTCTAACCAGAACTCTTGCAAAAGCACAACTTGGGGCAAGTGTTATGTTCTCCTTGCAGTCTGGTTTAAATAGAACACTGCTCCTTTGCTTGTGACTCTGCAGAGGTGATTTTCCATGCAATGTTTGGGACCAAGCCTAATTCCCTGTGTGTTTTCTTTGCAGACTCCACACCTCAGCACAGCTTCTGGGGCAGTGACCCCAGCGGGATCTGCACACGCAGTGGGCGCGTCATCAAGCCACCCCTCAACTTCTGGTGTGGCCAGAGAGAGGTTATGGATAGGAACCTTGGTGTCACCTTAGAGGATGGTGGAATGGATTACCTGGACCTGGTAAGATTCCTTTGCTTGTTGGTACTGAAATATGTCTTAAATATAGAGGACAAATCGGGCAAGGTGTCTTAATGGAATGTGTGCAGCTCTTGGGAGTGCCTGAAGAAGAAGGAAGTCTTGGAAACATGATAAAAGCATTTTAAAGCAAACAAAAATTTGTCTTATAATTGTTGTCTGTAAAATGGGAATAATGGGGAATTATTTCTGGAAAGAGACGTGAGTTTTTCTGGAGGAGAAATATATCAGGCAGGAAATGGGGGAGGTCCCACCTTGAGTTCTGAGCCCCTCATGACAAGATAGACAGAGGGCCTGGAGATGTCCAGAGAAGGGAGTGGAGCTGGGCAAGGGGCTGGAGTGCAAGGAGTGGCTGAGGGAGGTGGGGGTGCTCAGCCTGGAGAAAAGGAGATTAAATCAATTTGAGATTAAATTGTTTTGTTTTGAAGGTTCATAGTAGTGAAAAATCCCAGAAAATGACCCGTTCCATCTCCAAGAAGGGTAAACTGAAGGAAGTCAGGAAGACAAGAGGGAAAATACCAAAAAGCCAAAGCAAAGGTAAATACTTAGGGTTTTTTTTTTTTCTATTTTCAAGTTATTGATAGAATCAGTAGCTGAGGTCTGTTAATGCAAAGAAATGGTTGAAGTCTTTGAGTGGTCAGTTGCTTTTTCTGTGCAGATCATTAGAGCAGCATTAATGTGCAGTTTTACAGCTCCAAATATAAACTATTAAATCACTTTGTTAATTACATAATGGGAACACACGGATTTCTTTCTGGAAATTACAGTGAAGGGATTAGGATTGGTTTGAGTTCACCAGTGCAGTGCCCTGGGGGCTTTGCTTTTTAACCTGGATGAAATAAAAGGAATGAAATGCCTTTGTAGGCAAAAGTCTATTCACAAGAGTTTTTAGGAAGCATTTGGTTTTTATAAAGTTTGGGAAATAATAGAACCCTGGAAACAATATGAAAGCTAAAGCAGAAGTTTTTTTTTCCTAAAGCAGCTGCAGTGTTTCCTGCAGAAAAGCTCCCTGGAGCAGGAGTAAAGCTTTGGGGATGTGTTTGCTCCTAACCAGAACTGAGCTTGTAGTTCTCTGCCAGGTAACACTCTGGCAGGGGTTGCAGGTGACCGGTGCTGTGAGCACAGCCATGAGTCACCCTGCACTGCCTGATGCCATACTGGAATCACCTCTTCTAGGGAAAAGCAGTGAGAAAAGAGCCAGTTCCAAAAGAGACTCCAAGTCTGCTGGAAGCAAGAACAGGCACTTCATCGTGGATGAGGATGAGAGTGGTGCTGCAGGCAAGCACACACAAATGAAACCAGAGCTCCCTGCCAGGCTGAGTGCCTTAAATTCCAAAGTGCTCAGCAAACACAGCATGAGCATCCTGGGAATGGGGAGGGAGAGGAGAGCAGCAGCCTCTGTAGAACTGACCGTGTCTAAGCAGGAAGACAAGTACTCCCCGAGGGCAGCCAAGCAGCCTTGTCTAGGCAGGTGTTCCCCTGAGGGATCCTCAAAAAGGAATGAGGAAGAGGAATCCAGTGATGATGTTCCACTGCTTATCAGAAGGAAAAATAAATCTCAATTAAAGGCACAGACTGGGAAGTGGGAATGTTCCAGGGATGGTGCAAGCAAGGCATCGTGTGAGCAAGTGACAGGACAGCCCTCCCAGGATGTGACAGCAAGGTTCAGTGGGCCTGAGTCCAGTGATGGCTCTGGAAGCCTTCCTGAAGGGCAAACACCTCCCAGTGACTCCAGTGCTTCCCACCTGCCCTCCAAGGCAAGGAGGACACGCAGCAGAGCCAACCCTCCCCAGTACTGGCCTGATTCCAACACCAAGCCCAAAAGCAGCTCTGAGGAACTTCACCTAACGGCCAAGAATTCCAGAGCTCCTGTGAAAAAACCAACTAGTGGAGCTCCTAACTCTGCCAAGCCCTCAGCAGCCAGGTCAAGAGAGCAGAAGAGGGCAAAGGGACAGAAATCCCTGGACGTTTTACCAAGGGCAGCTGGTGGCTGGTCCAAGAAGGAACTACAGAAGCTTTACAGGCAAGTGGGTGCTCTGTGTGCACAGGGAAGAGTTTCCCTCAGGCACTGGGAGGGTTGGAATGATCAGGACTGAGGGTTTTCAGCCTCGGTCTCTTGAATGTGATTTTAAAGGTTTTCGTTATGTTTTAATTCCATCTTAGAGAACAAATTTTCTTGACCAGTTAAGAGATACTGAAATACAGGAGACAACTGAGTGTCTAATGTGTCTGGAGGAGTGTGAGTCTGCAGCAGCCTCCTACCAGGGGCATCAGTGTGAAAGGACAGCAGTGAATTTAGGCAGAATGTTGTGAATCCTCTGCCTGCCTGTCAAACACACATTTAATTGTGTGACAAATGCAAACTCATCCATTGAGTAAAAGTAAAAGCCCCAAGTAGGTAAATAATATGGTAAAAGTATTCAGGTTTGCTGTAGGCCATAGGGAGCAGGTTCTCTCCCGACATGGGAGTTCACCAGGACATGTTTATGTAATTAAGCTTTATAAAGGGGAGATTAACTGCAAAGATGTTTAATTAAATCCATAGCCCAATTACTTAAAGCACTGGGCAGTATTTAACACACATTCAGCATAAAATGACCTTTTTGGTTTGGTTTCTTTTAGGTGAGCAACATCAGGCATGAGCTCAGGTCTGGGGTGGGAGGACCTGCTGCAAGTGAGGAGGAAATTTATCTTAGAGATGTCAGCTTAATGTATATAAATACATTTGCACATTCTAAAGTGTCTAGAGAAGACACCATAGGATCCAGAGTGGTTTGGGTTGGAAGGGCCTTAAAACCCATCCAGTCCCACCCCCTGCCACGGGAAGAGACACCTCCCGCCAGCCCAGGTTGCTCCAAGCCCCATCCAGCCTGGCCTGGAACACTCCCAGGGACGGAGCAGCCACAGCTGCTCTGGGCAGCAACAGAAGAGACCAGAGACAGCCCCAGAGCAGATTCCCTAAACCCAAGGTGCAGGGCCCTTCCCAGGCAGGTGTGGGGCTGCAGCAGGCAGTGTGGTGCAGATTCTCCTGCCTGGTGACGCTGTGCTCTCCTGGCAGGGCCGTCGCTTCCTTCCCCAAGCACAGGAGAAGCTTCTGGGAGGAGGTGGCCATGGTGGTGGGGACACGCTCTGCCGAGGAGTGCCAGAGCCAGTATCTGCAGAATCAACAGGACAAAGGCTCCAGAACAAAGGTCAAGAAGACCAAGTCAGGAAAACCTGAGCAGAGAGGTATTGGTGTCTTGTTCCTGGGGGTCTGGGGTGGTTAAATCATTTATATTCAGACATTAAGGGGCTGGAGGTGTCCAGGGAAGGGAAGGGGTTGGGGAAGGGGCTGGAGCACAAAGAGCAGCTGAGGGAACTGGGGGGGCTCAGTCTGGAGAAAAGGAGGCTCAGAGGGAACTGTCTCACTCTCTACAACTCACTGACAGGAGGGTGCAAGAGACTACCTCTGCACTAAGAGAGGTGTGGAGGACAGTCTGGGCCTCTACCACTGATTGTAGTCAGTGAATTTTAATGCCCTAACTGATGTCTAAGAGCAAGGAATGTTTTGGTTCCTGCAGATAAGGAGCCAGAGATAACTGCCAGAGTGGGAACCTTGAAACGGAAGCAGCAGATGAGACAGTTCCTGGAGCACCTGCCCAAGGACAATCATGATGATGTCTTCGCTGCAAGTCCCTTTCAGAGGAGGAGAGTCCAGGTAAACCTGAGAAAGCAGCTCTCCCCCACCTAGGACCTGCCCTGCTTTGCACCATCCATGTCGCTCCTCTCTCTTCCAAATGGGAGAACCTGTAGTTCCTGGGCTAATCCTCCTCCTCAGTAGCTATGCTCAGCTTTGAGCTTGGAATTTTAATCAGAAATTACTTTTTGAGTGTGGTGGCATCAGAAACTGTAGCCAAGGGTTGGGCATCATTGGGAGGAGCATTCAGAGCAAGACAGAGGTGTCAGTTGGCTCCTGTGTCCTGGTGTCCCTGAGCTCAGTGCTGGGCACAGGGCTGGGGACTGTGTCTGGCAGGGACAGGAGGGGTTGCAGCCACTATGGTGAGGAGGGAATGGAGCACTGGAGAGTCTGTGGCAGAGGAGCAGCAGCAGGGTCAGTCACTGACTCCTCTGGTGTGACTTTGCAGTTGCCAACGTTCCGAGGGAGCCGAGATGAGGAGGATGATGACTTTGCGCTCACAGACCTCCCACTCACACCATCCTCTGCTGTCTTCCCCCTGATGAAGACCCCTCAGTGTGAGCACATCAGCCCTGGCATGCTGGTGCCTATCAACAGGTAGGAGCTCGTACTGCCACCCTCTGCCTTTCTCACTTTCCCCAAGATCCTGTGTTTGCCTTCTTGGAGCAGGGACAGCAGTTCAGTTCCGGGCTAGAGCAGGCACAGAATCCTGCAGCCCTTGGTTTGGTCAGAGAAAGCTCTTCCCTGCCTGGAAGCTCAGCTCAGTGTGGCAGTGGAACAAAGGACAGTGGCACATGCTCTTCCTCCTGAGGACAGCACTGGGTTGGGCTTTGGCCTCAGGAGAGTGTTCAGTCTTCAGTGCTTCAGGCCCTACTCACACTGACTGGAATGATCTGGAAATGTGGAGTCAGTGAAGTTTTGCCTAATAGACATGAGCTCCATGTGGGAAGAGGCAGAAGCTTGGTCTGATCCCTGCAGTAGGATTTCTGGCAGGTGATCTAACCCAGCTCTCACATGCTGTTGTGACCCCAGAGCAGCTGCTGTGTTTAACTGCTTGACACCAGTTCTTGTTGGCCAAGCTCATTGCCATTGGTGACACACTCCTCATGAGCTCAGTGTGAGCTCACAGCCCAGAAACCAGCTGAGCCCTGGGCTCCATCCACAGGAGTGTGGCAGCAGGTGAGGGAGGGGATTCTCCCCCTCTGCTCTTGGTGACACCCACCTGGAGTGCTGCACATAGTTCTGGCGTCCCTAGCAGAAGGACATGGAGCTGTTGGAGCGAGGCCAGAGGAGGCCACGAAGGTGATCAGAGCACTGGAGCACCTTCCCTACGAGGACAGGCTGAGAGAGCTGGGGCTGTTCAGCCTGGAGAGAAGGTTGTGTGGAGACCTCAGGAGCTGAAAGGGCTCCAGGGAAGCTGCAGAGGGACTCTTGGTTAGGAACTGCAGGGACAGGACAAGGAGTAAGGGGGAGAAATTGAAAGAGGGAAATTCAGATTAGATCTTAGGCAGTTTTCCCTGTGAGGGTGGTGAGAAACACTGGCACAGGTTGCCCAGGGAGGCTGTGGCTGCCCCAACCCTGGCAGTGTTCACAGTCAGGTTGGCTAAAGCCTTGAGCAACCTGCTCTGGTAGGAGGTGTCCCTGCCCAGGGCAGGGGGTGGCACTGGATGATCTCTAAGCTCCATTCCAACCCCTTAACATACTATGATACCTTGCTGGGCTCCATGTGACTCCTGTAGCTGCCTTCAGATGGCTCCACACTGACTTGCTGCGTTGCATCTGCAGGAATGACTACGACAGACACGTGTTCAGGCTGCAGAAGACTAAGGGTGGCAGAAGCACCTGGGACAAGGTCAAGAAGAAGTCGGTAATGCTGCTTGCCTTGAGCCTGGCCCAGGTCCACCTCAGCCAAGCACAGTTTGCCTAGCAGGAGGAAGAATCCCAGGATCACAGCTCAGTGTGTGCAGTGGATGGAAAGCAGGAACCCTCCCTGGCTTCCTCCCAGGCTCCTCCTGGGTTTTGTATCTGCTGCTGTGGAGAAAAGTCCCTTTGGTTAGAAAGGAGCTGTTGAGTGTCAAGATTAATCCATTGCTTTTGGTCAGTGTTTGTACTGCTTTGGAATTTCATCTTTATGTTCCTGTGACATACAGTGGGAAAAGAAACAGTAATCATAGACTATCCAGAGTGGGAACAGACCCACATGGATCATCAAGTCCAGCTTCTAACAATGACCATAACAGTGGTCACCTTGTGTCATACTCCCTGAATTGAGGTATTTATTTCTCCACTATCCAGGTTTTGCAGTGCCTCTGGCTTTTCCATGAAAAGCCAGGTTCTCAGGAGCACAAGTATGACTTGTGCCTCTAGTTCAGAGCAAGGTAGCTGAAGAGTTTAAATTTTTGGGACAGTGCATCCCAGTGATTAGGAGCTTCAGCCCAGCAGGCCCTGAGCCCCTTCCAGCCCATCATTCAGGCTCGGAGCTGCTGGCTGAGCCTCTCTGTGCTTCCCTCCCTCAGGGTGGAGCTGTGCAGCAAACACCAGCTTCCCGCAGGACCAAGATGAGTGTGGATAGAAGTGAGTATTCCTGGGTCCTCCTCCATTTCCAGCTGCTTCCCCCATTTCCCATCACCACTGGGTGCTCCAGTCTGTTCCACATCAGCACCTTTGCTGTGTGCACCTTCTCTCACTGCTTTTCCCATTGGACACACTCTAATCCATTTTTTCCTGCAGAAGTGCCTGAAGCCTCGGTGGTTGGGAAGCTCTTCGTGGCTGACACACCCGAGTCATCCAGTGAGGAACAAGACTCCTACTTTTCTGTTTGCTGAAAGTTGAGGATGTGTTTGTTGAGCATTTGTGTGTCTTGTCAGAGCACTGGGGTGCAGCTGTCCTGGGCCTGGCCTGGCGTGGGATAGAGAGTTCAGTTTAGGAAATTTACCTGCCTTGGTTTTATGTATGTTTTAATACCGTTCCCATCTTGCCAGCAATGTTTGGCTGTTCCATGTGTACAAAGTAGCACTTCCTTGCCCAGGCTGCTCCTTTCCATTGCCTGTTCCTCCTGGGAAGGAGAAATGTACCTGGACAGCACTGATTGGAAAGTTCTGCTTTATTTTAAGGGAAATGTCCTTGGAGCCATGACTGTACAATAAACTCAGGTACAGTCCTGGAAGTAACTGAAAGTGCTTTTCAATTGCCTTTGCAGAGAGTTTGGAATTTTACATTACCTTAGTGTAATAAACCAGGATGAGTTTATTCTAGTCACAGAGCAATCAGTCTTTGGGGGCAACAGAATGGAACAGGTACAGGGCCTGCAAGGCTTCCTCCTCCTCCTTTTTCAGTCAAGGACTCAGGGAATGGTTTGGGTGGGAAGGACCTTAAAGCTCATCTCATCCCACCCCCTGCCATGGGCAGGGACACCTTCCACCAGCCCAGGTTGCTCCAAGCCCCATCCAACCTGGTCTGGAACACTCCCAGGGATGGAGCAGCAACAGCTGCTCTGGGCAACCTGTGCTAGTGCCTCACCACCCTTCCAGGGAAGAATTCCTTCCCAATATCCTACCTGTCCCTGCCCTCTGGCAGTGAGAAGCCATTCCCTGTGTCCTGTCCCTCCATCCCTTGTCCTAAGTCCCTCTGCAGCTCTCTTGGAGCCCCTTTAGGCACTGGAAGGGGCTCTAAGGTCTCGCTGGCACCTTCTCCAGGCTGAACACCCCCAGTTCTCCCAGCCTGGCTCCATGGCAGAGGTGTTCCAGCCCTTGGATCATCTCCATGACCTCCTCTGGACTCAGCAGCTCCAGTTGTGGCACAGCAGCACTGCATCTCTGTCTCACTTGAGCAGGGCAGAAGTAGGAGTGGCTGACCCCAGCCTGGCACGGGGCTGTGCCACACCCACACAACCTGTTCCAGGAAGGTGATTTATCTCTGTCCTGGCCTCTTCCTGAAAGGGAATTCACTCACCAGACAGCCACGGAGTGGCAGCAGCAGGCTGCAGTGGGATCACCTGAGCACCAGCAGGAGGGAGGAGGGAGCAGCTCTGAGGCCTCCTTAGAACATGGGACTCACAGCTCTGGGCCCATCCACTCCTCCTGCACAACTCAGCAACCCTGTCAGTGTCCTGGGAATAAGGGACACTTGGCAATTCTCTTTTTCCCTAGGAAACACAGGTGTCATTGTTTCAGTAAACAGCAGTTAGCTGCTGACTCCTTCCCTGTCATCCCCACAGAGCTTTGCTTTGCCAAAGCTCTTCAGCCATTAGTGTGGTTTTTAAAGACATTTTGGGACCATCACAGGCAGCAAACCACCAGCCCTGTCCCTGCCCACATCCCCAGGCCATGCCACAGCAGGCAGGGGCAAGTGCAGCACCCCAAGCCCCTGATGGTTCTGTAAGTGTTTATTTACACATTTCACCCCCAATCCCACCCCAGTAAAGTGCAGTTCAGGACAGACCCCTCCCTTCCCTCCACAGTTCCATCCCCCTCAGCTCTTGGGGGCTGCAGGGCCCTTCCCCTTAGGGCAGAGGTGCTCTGGCAGCAGCTGTGGGTCGAAGCTGTAGTGCAGGTGGTGGTGGATCTCTTCAGCCTTCTGCAGACTCACCTGGGCAGCCTTAGCCAGGGCCAGGGGGGAGCTGCAAGAGAGCAGAGCAGGAGCCTTCTCACTGCACTATCTGGGATCTCCCTGCAGCCCTTGGAACCTCCCTGCAGTCCATGGATGAACTGCTATGAGGATGTGACAGCATCAGGA